TGGTGAATCCCTTTTTGCGTTGTCAAGATGTAGATCTGCATCTTTAATATATGAAGTAGTAAGCAATTTCCATACACTTCAACCTCTGTAGCATTTTCATGGGCGAATCCTTTTCTTCCCTCTGACCAACCGTTAAGTGTTTCTGTAGCAATGTCGAAGACAATACATTTTTTGCCTCTTGATCATGCAGAAAAAACAGCAAAAAATGGTAATACATTTTAGGGCAGGATCATTTATGTTCCATCCGTTTGACCGTTTTTAGTTTTGCTCTGAAGTGCTGCTATTGTAAACAGTGCCTAGCTTCCGATGATGGCAACTGGGACTGCACTTAATGCCCTTAGAGGCAGCTCTGTCAGCGCAATTATGAGTTACAAAGCTCACTTATGCCTTCAAAGCAAGTCTGTTTTGAAGAACAATACTCCAACCACAGAAGGACGCAGAGTCACTATGTATTTTAACTCTGAATGAAATCATCGTTTCAAACGATTTCAAATGTTTTCTTATCATGTTCTATAATGAAATACAAGATAAGAATGGCTGAATTTTATATAATAGAAAACGATCAGCCGTTTAAGTCGACCAAATACACCCACAGTACTCGAAAGTACATCACATCTGAGCAACAGTCGCAATGAAAATCTTGCGACCATGACAGAATTGAGAGACTTCATTGATTCCATCAGAAAAGTAAAACTGATGTATCCTGTTAGTTTGCGCCGTATTAACTACTAATTCCCTGAGCAACGAATTCACAACACATGGCTTTTTTGCAAGGAGCTGAAAAATGGGTAACAGGTCATTGACTTGAGAACAATAACAACAGCATAGCGCTTGATGTGACCATAAGTAGCATATCACCATACGCGGGACTCAGGCCATACCCTCTGATCACGAGGTCTTACGGCCACAGTTTGCCATGACTCGCCTGGCTACTGTCCACCCGGTGTAATAATGAGCACAAGGTGTAACTTTGTTGTCGTTGTTGGATCACTGCAACATTCTTCGTTCTTCATGGCAAAGCTGGTAGTTTGCGGTTGTTCCTGACGTCATTTACAACAGTGGGTTCACTCAGAGCAGTAAGACTGATGTCGTATATCTTTGAATGGTGCATAAACGACTGACTGAAAAGACTGAAAAAGTATACTGACCGTTTTGCCAGTGAAACCGGTAAGTGGAATGAAAGAATCCTATCTTCGTTGAAACTACTTTAGTGATAAAGGCCTTGGAATGTCGGAGTCGAAATACCGTTGTCGATAGTCTTAAAGCACTTGGCCCCAACATCGTTGCAATGTCGTAAATAGGAGCAGGGTTAAGAGGTAACCTTCGATTATCGTTATGAATTGCTAAGTATTGCGACATAAGACTCATTTCACTTTGACTGAATAACGGGAGCAAACGCTACAAGATATACATATAGAATTACTAATGGGCCTGAGAACAGGGGTTCCCATTTGATTAGGCATCGTTCGGTTCTACCGAGAATCTAAAAGCAGTCGTCATTCTCGGTTCAGAAGGCAGACGGAACAACGTGAAACAGCTGTCACTGGTTCTTCTATTCTTTGCTGAGGGTCAACCACAACTACACTGTCTGGAAGTGTAGTCGTGATGTTCTACTCGTGCAGAGAACTACCTCAAAAGTCGTGCGGGATTCTGTGGCTGTATTTGCCACTGCCTACCACTGCCTCGTTACTCGATGTAAGTTTCTGTTCGTTTTCCAGACAAGGCAGCAAAGATGGGTTTTGGTAGCTTTCATCTATACTGATGCCTCTGATTTATTGATTTGATTATTTGCTGAACGAATGCTCGAACAAAATGATATGCAATAATAGATCAAATAACATAGTCATAGACTTCAAAACCGTTGGCATGATCAGGGCATTTTAATTGCTTCAATCGTTCCTGGTATACGATTTGCTATTTTTTGTTGACGATCAAAAAACTACGCGAAGCTAATGACAAGGGAAGGGAATGAAATTCGTAATACATGTTACAAAATTGCTTTTATTTACTACGCAAATAGGAATCTTCATTTTCTGAAGACAACATCTACGGTTAGCCCGATATTTAGGACGCAGTCTGTTTTTTTTCGAACGCAGTGATACTGATTCGCATTCCTCTGACGGATGAAAGACAGGCATCCAATCAATCGGCTGTGACTTAGCACCCTACGAACTGAGCTCACATCTGATTCTGGGTAGTTTCTTCATGAAAAGGGCTAAAAGTTAATAAACATATTTCACATGATCTTATTATTAATGCATTGGGCGCTAAACCATTCATATAAACCATTAATATGGTGCAACGGTATTAAACGAAAGCGATTAGGAAGGTGCGTGACGGTTTGGTCGAACCGTGTTCTACAGAAACTACCTTCCAGCTGTTGAAGGTATGCCGCAATCCGGGAATCCAATGAGTTGTTGTCATGAAACCACTGCCAAAGCGGAACATGTACTGCTTTCAGAAGCTGAACCGAAAGCGTATCTTCGGCACCGATCTTTGTTGTACACTGTGTGTTTTGTTCCGTGGGAAAGGAAAGAAATAGAAGGGTTTGAAACTGCCAGAATCAGGATGTCGGTTTCCCTCATCACCGCATGTGTAGCACTTTTATTCGATGGAGCTTAGTGTGCGACGCTGACCTCCGTTGTAGTGACCTCAGTTGTTTAAGGTGCGTTATGGAATTTCCCTTAAGGTTTATCGGCAACTAGGGGAACACAGTAGCGATCACTTTCCTGATGCTTCATTATGTAGAAGTACTCTGAAGGACAGAATCGTCTGGTGACAACACCTGGATGGAAACTCAGGTCTTTCACCTGTGAGTTTTTCTTTCAACCCATGACCGAAGAGTGATCGTTGGGTTCTCAATTCAGTGCCATATGTTGTAGATTCTGAGACAGCAACGGTGAAAGAAGTCAAGGTTGAGCCAAGTTTTTCGCGGTTGTTTTCACTACGAGAATACTAAGCAAATAGAGCCTTTTTGAACTAGAACCTCTACCGTCTTGATCAACAGTTAAACCGTCTCTTCCTGTTTCAGCGTGTGCCGGAAGAGTTGCTTAAACATCAGATTTCCGTTGTGAAAACTGACTGTTCATAACTGCAATATAATCTAGCACTTCCTTATCCGCAAGTAAGTTTCGTAGCAGTGCAACTGTGGATCATTGATCACTTGTTCCTGGCTTCAGTGAAACCTGTCTTGATTGTGATAGTGGGCAAAAATGCAAACTGATAATCACCTGGCTCTCTGTGAGATACATGTTTCAAAAGTACATTATGTTGAAGAATTGGTATCTGACTCACAAAGTATGTTTAATTAGCCGAATATCAAGAGCTGACAAGCCGGCTCAAAGTGGCGACCTCAAGCTCTGGTAAAAATGAAAGCCTACGAGGGTTATTGAATAAATGACGATTATAATGGATATGGCTAAACGATGATAATTGAATTATCAAGCAATCGTTGGATCATTTTGTCAATAATGATCATAGTCGACTGTCATTCCCTGTTCAGTGAGTAGACGGTATAATGTTCATCGCGGTCCATCATTCGGTTCTCCATCGCCTTTGTAGCGTGAATGACGCTTAGTCGTGTTTATTCAAAAATATCGTTCGCTTGGCGTCTCACTAGTCTCTACCTCGATCTAGAAGCCGGAGTGAACCCCTATGGCATTCCATAAATACTGACTCATAGCAGACAGAAATTACAAAAAACGCATGCAATTTTATCCAAACGGATTTATGTTGAAAATAAGGTTAGCCTGCATCGAAACAGTTAACTTTATTGTTCGACTTATCCACATTGACGTATCTTTATTGCTAACCTCTACACAAGCATTAATCGTTACGACAAAAATCGAATTTCTGTCCGCATTGGACTGAAGCGTATGTTTATCGTTTGAAGATATGAGGCGAATGAAGTGCTGAGGATTGTTTGTCTGCGAATGGATGTCTGGAAAATTATTACGTACGCCATGAAAAGTTACAGACAGCAGAGCAAATCTATACAAAATCATGCTTCGAGCCATCCGTTGAATACTAATGTAATAGACGATTAACGAACACAGGTTTATGACTATTTGAAGCTAATAATGGTAACTTTTTAAATGGACGAAACCTTTCATTCATTTCAGATGCATCTCGTTATTATCATTATCTATGTTAGAATTTTATTTTGCAGGATGCATGCTTTTCATTTCTGCTATTTCGTACTGCTGGTATATTTTGTACGGCGGTTACATTGCACGAACTTTGAGATGCGAAGCACAACGAAGCTAAGCGCTGGAAAATTTTGTGATGACGATCCATGCTTCAATGGCGGAACCTGTGTTGAAACTGCAAATTATAGCAAATGTATTTGTGAACCTGGATTCACTGGTTCCCTGTGCCAAATAGGTAAATTTTAAAATTTTCTTGGCATTTGGCCAGTTTTCTAATTAAAGCTTCATTATTAATTCGGTGCATGCAATGACCACGCTGTACACCTTAGAAACGAACAAGCTACTTTTTAAATTTTTGAGAGAGAAGCAGAAACTGTTATAGGGAGTTCAGATGCCAAAAATTATAACAATTCAAGGTAAAATAGCAAAAAGGAAATGTATTAGGTAAACTTGCTGATTAGGACATATGAAGGATAGGTCAAAATGTAAAGTCATTTCATTTAGAAT